AGTAGTATAGTATATATATATATATATATATATATATATATATATATATATATATATATATATATATATAGTGACTAAACAGTTGGTCAGATTTGGATTTGACTTCAAGTCCAGCCAAATGGGTTGGTGTCTTATCAAAGTTGTCGGATCCATCTCGAATCCCATTTCAGATTTCCTGAACCCAATGTAAACCATAAAACTGGGCCACTTTCGGAGCATCATGCAATCACATGGCATAAAGCATATAGTCAATCAAAGCATGCCATCTCCAGATGTTCTCGATTTGGAGTAGTCTTCCCCAATATTTTATGTTGAATGACCAACGGTTTTTATCTTGTACGATTAATCATCACCTGTTTACATCGAGCTTGGTTTGGTTGCTCCTCCAAAAAAACAACATAAAGAATGCATGGCCGAAGGGTAATAGAAATTATTGTATCGAAGGTACCAAAGAAGGAAAAAGAAAAGGTAAGAGTTAATTCATCATCTATTCAACATGAGATTAAAATCGAATAGGTATTCTGCAAATCGTGATTGTACATGAGATTTCATTTTATTATGAAAAATGATAACATGATACTTCTTGGAGAGAACCTATATGCATATAATAAACCTAGAATTATACACACAAATACATTATGCTATCTATGCAGAAAAATCACGTCATTTGACAAATAATAACGCTGTTAATATAGTTCTCCTTATTTGGCAAAAAGAAAAAAAAAACAGCATGCAGAACAGGCGATCACTTTCCATGAATGTGTTCACTAAAAGTAAGGTTTAACTTAAGTTTTCTTTTGTTTCTTACTAAATATAAGAATTATTAGATTATCTAATCGTATGTAATTATGTAAGATATATCATAAATATTATTAAATATTGATTATGATTATCAATCAATAGAAAATATGTATAATTATGATAGAATTTCTTAGAAAATGATCTTGATATTTTTTTTTAATTACTTATTATAGATACTTTGCTCTCACCTATAAAAGGATATAGTCTCTTGAGAACTCAACACATAACATATCATATATAAGTATTGCTATTGCTTTCAGATTCGATGATGCTTTATAAATTAAATAAAAACTTTCTGAATGATATCGAAAGGTATACACCGTAAAATAAATTTATTATTATTTGATTTTAGATTTCGATATTAAAAATTTTTACATAATAATAATATATAATATTTATAATTAAATATTATTTTTATCAATGTCATCGGTAACTACAATCATACAAGAGTAGAAGATGTCATATAGAAGGAAATGCATAGAAGATATCATCCAATAGATAGAAGGAAATGCATAGAGAGCTCTCGAAGTCATTCGAAGCTTCGTGGCTTGGGCATAGACACTGACGCCTAGATTATTACACTGCCACTATATATATATATATATATATATATATATATATATATATATATATATATATATATATATATATATATATATATATATAATTGCTGCTACTCCGGACTAAAACGTAGCCCCGCAATCTCGGCCACAAATTCCACAAGATTGATGTCATCATTCCGGACTCCACGTCTGCCAGCAAAATTATTGGGCAGCCATTGATTTCCTCCATAGAGGCTTGCGCCATGGATGGCATGTCGCAGCTCTTGGCGGCTTATGCGTCCATCCTTGTCGCTGTCGAACTGCTTCAGCCATTGCTTCAGTTCCTCCGTGTTTTTTACCCTGTGGAAGGATATGGCAGGGGCTGATATTGCGTTGGGCATAGTGCTGTGTGGTGGGAGACTGGGAGTTGCTAGAATGATGCAACGCTGGTTCAAGTTAGGGTAATTTATAGGCCAAGAGACTTGACGCCTTGTTCCTCGAACACCAAGGACACCTGTTAGTTGGGTGAGTTGGACTCCCACCCACGCTGGAAAAGCTACAGCAAAGCTTTAACCCTTGTAAAGAATAAACCGTCAACCTGCAGGAAAGAGAAACATTCAAGACGCTGCAAACATTGGGAGAAAAGATTATGAGGCAGCAGTCATTCTTTCATCCAATGCAGGAAAAGGAAGAATATATAGAAAAAGAAGAAGAGGACCATAGTGGCAGTCACTATTAACCACAAAGTGGGCCGGAGAGCTGAATTCCCCAAGAACTGGAGAGGACGAG